TTTTTTTTTTTTTTTTTTCTGAGACGGAGTTTTGCTCTTGTTGCCCAGGCTAGAGTGCAATGGTACCATCTTGGCTCATGGCAACGTTCACTGCCCAGGTTCAAGGGATTCTCCTGCATCCCAAGTAGCCAGTATTACATGCCTACGCCACCACACCCAGCTAATTTTGTATTTTTAGTAGATAGGGTTTCACCATGTTGGCCAGGCTGGTCTTGAACTCCTGACCTCAGGTGATCCACCTCCCAAAGTGCTGCAATTACAGGTGTGAGCCACCACGCTCAGCCTACAGAGATACCTTTCATGAGAGGAAAAGCTGATCAATGCAGCAAACTTCACTGTTGTCTTATTTTTAGAAATTGCCACAGCTACTCCAACTTTCAGCAATCACCACCCTGATCAGTCAGCAGCCATCAATGTCTAGGCAAGACTCTCAACCAGCAAAAAGATTACAAGTCCTGAAGACTAAGGTGACTGTTAACATTTTTTGGCAATAAAGCATTTTAAAATTAAGGTATGCACACTGCTTTTTTTAGACATAATGCTATTACGCTCTTAATAGACTATAGTATGGTGTTAACATAACTTTTCTTTCCCCTCTAAGATGGGATCTTGGTCTGTTGCCCAGGCCAGAGTGCAGTGGTGCAATCATAGCATACTGCTGCCTTGAACTCCTGGGCTGGCAAGTGATTCTTCCACCTCAGCCTCCAGAGTAGCTAGGACTAAACAGGTGCACACTGCAACACTCAGATACTTTTTAAAAACTTTTTTGTAGAGACAGGGTCTTGCTATGCTGCCCAAACTGGTCTTGAACTTCTGGCCTCAAGTGATCCTCCCTCCTCTACCTTTCAAAGTACTGGGATTACAGGCATAAGGCACTATGCCAAGCCTGTAAACATAACTTATATATGTACTGGGAAACTAAAAAATTTATTTAACAGGCTTTATTGCACTATATGCTTTATTGCAATGGTCTAGAACTGAACCTGCAATATCTCCAAAGCATGCCTATATACAGTATGTGAGCTGCTATAATAATTATTATTATTAAAACCAAAGTTAAAATTCCTAACAGTCAAAAAATTCTCACAAATCAACAAAATAAACCAGCCAAAAAGTTGACAAAGGATAAGAAATGAATACATACATGAAATAAACACATGAAAAGATGTTCATCCTCTTCAATAAGGAAATGTAAATAAAAATTAGTTACCTAGGCTTCAAATTGGCAAAGATTCAAAATATTGATTCCCAGTCAGGCATGGTAGCTCACACCTGTAATCCCAACACTCTGGGAGGCCAAGGGGGATTGTTTGAGCCCAGAGGTTCAAGACCAGCCTGGGCAATATAGTGAGACTTCATCTCTACAAAAACATGGACAAGATGGTAAGCACCTAAAATCCCAGCTACTCAGGAGGCTGAGGTGGGAAGATCACTTGAATCGAGGAAACAGAGGTTGTAGTGAGCTGTGATTGTGCCACTGCACTGCAGCCTGGGAAACAGAGTCAGACCCTGTCTTTAAAACAAAAATAAATAAATAAATAGATTCCCATTCTAGCAAGTATAGCTAGATACCTAGGTAAATAAATAAATAAATAAAAATATTGATAAAGTTCAGTGCTAGGGGAGAAATATAAATTGATACAAGCTGTTGAAAGTAATTTAATAATATCCAACAAAATTTTAAACATGCATAACATTTGACACAGAAATTCTACATACAGAAATGTATCCTACAGGCCAGGAGCGGTGGCACAAGCCTGTAATCCCTGGACTGTGAGAGGCTGGCCAACATGGAGAAAACCTGTCTCTACTAAAAATACAAAATTAGCCAGGCATGATGGCATACACTCATAGTCCCAGCTACTTGAGAGGCTGAGGCAGGAGAATAGCTTGAACCCAGGAGGTGGAGGTTGAAGTGAGCCTAGATCATGCCACTGCATTCCAGCCAGGGCAACAGAGCAAGTTGTCTACAATCAATCAATCAATCATTATCCATTCCCAGCAGGTGGCAGCTCATCAGCAGTTGTCTGGATACCCTGTAGCCCAAGCCAACTAGACACTTCTTTTTTTTTTTTTTTAAAGACGGGGTTTCACCATGTTGGTCAGGCTGGTCTTGAACTCCCGACCTCAGGTGATCTGCCCGCCTTGGCCTCCAAAG